CTCTCCTCCCCACACGCTCTGCTGCATCCCCAGCAAGTCCGTGCCGCCCTACGGAAGGCGGCTCTACGCCGAGGCGCTACGTTATTTAACTGCGCTTCCTGGCAACAGTGAATATTTGTCTTCGATTCGCCACTGTGGTTAAAGCCCTGCCTTACCTGCCCGGGTATGGGCTGTGCCCTTCTTGGCGGCCCCCACCTTAACAAAATGCTTGAAGGGAAGGTGTTCAGCCCCCCTATGCTCCGCCCCCCCCCCTGGCCCCATGAAGCTGGGTTTGCTCCAATAAACAGGGAATGGCCAGACCAGGGAGTGTGTAGTGCTGAAAACCCAGTGCATCTCAAGCACAGAGCACACTCTGCATCTTCTCCCTGACAACCACCCCCCCACCCCCCACCTCCAGCGCACCGCATCAGCGTCACGTTGCTTCCAAGGGACTCAAGCGTGGCACACTGCCAGGCACGTGATGTCAGAGTCACACGGGAGGCTCTGCTCGTCGTTCCCCCCAAGCGTGGCGGGGCGGGGGGGGGGGGGGCTGAAGGTAGCCACGGTGGCCCATCTCTGCGGCATTCCTCGCCGGCATTCCTCTGGCACATCTAACTGTGCTCTTCGGGGGCCGCGTGTGGCTGATGTTGACTGAGAAATGAGTCACGGAGGAAAGGAGGCGGGGCCAAACGGCTACAGCGGACCCAGCTGATGAATGGGGCTTGGAGGAGAACATTCACATGCTGAAGTCACGTCACATACATCTGAGGTTGCCATATCCTTATATTTATTACATCACTCAGGTATATTCTCTTTGTCTCAGAGACACATGATTTATTCTTCTTAATAAGTGAGTGCTTACTGTTGCTAGGAATAGTAGTTAGTTATCCATCTACTGTAGGTTGGTTGAAGATATTTTATATCAGCTGTTAATATGGATTAATTTGGTGTTAACTGTGTTTTTTAATCTCCTGACATAGAAATATCAGACCAGAATGGCAGCTCAACTCCTTGTGCTCTTAAGGTCCTAAGGTCCTATCTATTCATTCGAAAAATCTAGAAAACAGCAGCCCGACTTCATAGTCTCATTTGCTGCCTGCACTGTTTGATTTGCATCTAAACACCTTCACATTTGCATCAATCCTGAGAGAGAGTAAGTGTGTAAAAAAGTGAAAATGGAAATGAACCAAGCGAGACTTGTGTGGCACCAGGAAAGTGTGCCACAGACACAGGCTGGGAAATAGCAGGGCTTGTAATTCTGCTTCTGCACTGCAAAAGGCTGCTATTAATCAGTGAGAGGAAGACAAGCGAAGAGCTGCCGTGGACGATGGAGCCCAGGCTAATGAGGACACGGATTCTCCCTGGCTGTAGATAGAGTCTGAGAGGCGCGGCTTTGCGGCGAATCGCAGAGAGCCTGTCAGAGGGGGCGCTGTTGCTTTATCAGCCCGGCTGCGGAGCGAGCCGCTATTTCTGTGTGCAGTGTTTGACCTAATTGTGTCAGCATCCCGCCCCAAACGCTGCTGAAATCTGGAGTGTAAACACAGCCCTGGTGGGAGAGACACAGCCGGAGGTTTCGCTGGGTTACGCTCATGTTGTGGTGCTGCTGTTAGCACGGTGGAAAAGCAGCCGTCAGACCCGGAAGGACACTGATTCGTATTTCCTATCTCTTGCGTTTCCTGTGTAATTGACTTTTATAAGAACCTCTGACAGGGAGGGCAGGATTACATACTAACATTAAACAATTTAGGAATCTCAATGCCAAGACAGCAGAGAAGAAGGTAGCCCTTCACTGAGTCTGAGTCACAGAGGGAATCCCTGGCAGAATGGCTTCGAATGGTCCCAGGATGGAGAAGCACGGAGATTCCCACGGAAAAGGTGGATAACAGGAACCAGAGCTGAGTAGAACATTAACAACAGATAGGGGCCTTTAGAACTGCAAAAATCTTTGTGGAAGCAGGTAACACATTTAAAAGCAGACCAACAGATCATTAATTCATTTCTTAGTCAACAATTTTACCAAAGGAAAAAAACCCTCATAATACCATAAGGAGTGTGTTAAATCGATCTGGGTAAAATTCCTCATCTGCAGTACAACAGCTGTACCCAGATGAGATTCCACCCAACAGCTACGAGAATAAAAGCCCAGGTACCTAACCATCATGCCACATAACAGTGTGAGCCATTAAATATTTTCCAACATGTTTATTTATTGTTCTTTTTTTTTTAGTGTAAGCGATTAATTGTCAACACACCACAATGAAATGTGTCCTCTGCATTTAGCCCATATGTGACATAGCAGCACGCAGCTAATTCAGCGCCCGGGGAGCAGTGCTTGGGGACAGTACCTTGCACAGGGATTCAAACCAGCACCCCTTCACTCACAAATGCGCTTCCTGAATCGTTCGGCCACCACTGACCATATTGACACCAAAATCATGAATTAACACAATACTTTTTGTCTCCCCAGTGTCGCACATATTTCCTCACATGGTACCAATTTACAATAAGCTTCCCTTTCACCACTTACAAATGTACTATTATAATTATATTAGAAATTAAACACAAAATGCTGAAGTAAGGACTGATACATTAAGCATTTTCCATACTAAAAACAAAACAGTGCCAAAGGCAGTTTGCTTGTTTTGGCTCTAAAACCAGACACAAAAAGTCTAGTAATTTCACAGAGAGGTACAATCAGACTTCCTAATTACTAGATGCAAGATATTGGACCACGTTGTTTCGTTCCCTAAATAACTGGTTACTGGAAAATAAACATGCACAACACTGTTTGGTAGGTGGATTACTGTCAGACTGTCAGATACAAGAAAAGGCTCCCTGACAGACTCAACATAAGAAGCAAATATACCTTATATCTAATCTATCCCTACAGTACGGTTAATTAAGGGGGAGGGGGTCAGTTGACCTCACTGTTTTTGAATACACAGTTGTCTCCGGGCACCACAATCAGATCCTCAAAGTGCTGCTTCTCTTCTGGCTGTTTTAACATGCCCTACCTCACCAAACTCAGCGACGGCAAGCAGGTCACACCTTCTCAGGCAGGAGGCTAAGTCATTATATAACGCGGTTTCTCAAGAACTGCTGTGAAGGACGATAAATATTAGCTACAGGGGGAGATAATGCAGATGTTTGGGAACGGGGAGAACTCGGGTGTCGGAGGCAAATCGAGCCCGGCTGTTTCACGAGCGTCTCTGCACTGCCTGCCTGGGCATATGCAGCCCCCAGTCGCCCAAAGACACCTCATGCCTGAATCCCTGCTTCCATAAGTCACCAGACAGATTATAACGAAGACATGGAAAAAAAAAAACACCACGAAGATACACAGCCATACGCTGTGCCTATGGTGACAATAATGACCACTGAATTTAGCTGATTCCAAAGGGGGGCTTCTTGTCAGTCATACATTCCCTGACGTTAATAACGAGTCGTAACACAACACACAAAACCATATAGTGCCTGTATGAAGCTGACCTACAGCTTTCCAGTGAAACCAGTTTGCAGGCGTTTCCCAGGCGACATAGAAGAGATAAGTGCTTATGCGAGAAATAATTAGAGACGTCCTGAATTATCACCAGGAGGACTTTTGAATATTGCCGAAACAGTCCCACGGTATCTCACAGCCCCGGCTCATCTTAATTAAAATAAACCCCCGACGTAGCCTTTCGTCCCACTGAATCTCCTCGACAGGTTTTGCAAACCTCATTTGTATGCCCAAGATCCGCACACGCCATAATAAACCTCGGCAAGCTGTTCGTCACTTATGTCTTGTCCGTATGATGTCGGGCTGTGAAGGGAAAGCGGGCAGCTGGAAACCGAAATGATTTATCAACGGGCGAAATCATTTAACGATACATCCCGTTAATCTTCCCGGGTTCTGTGTTTCATACACGCAACATACCTGACTGCGGCACACCGGCTCTGCGAGGACAAGAGCCTCCTTAGGATTTTTTACATGTTCCCTAAAATTGCTTATATATTTATTTGCGCAAAGAAACATGATGATTAGTAGTTTGATAAGAATTGTTATGCTTTGATATATATCCATCATAGATATGAAAAACGTAGACATAGCATGCATTTATGCGAAATTATGCAAAATAATATCAAGGTGTTTTTTTTTAATCGAAACACGACATTTTTGCAAATGTGACACGGTGGTAGGATTTAGGGGCCCGGGCGCGTGCAGCCTAATAAGACTTAACTTGGTGAATAGAGGGGATCAGAGCGCTCTACTGTCAACCTGTTTTGACGATCGACGCAGTCCCATATGGCTGGCCTAAAATAAATCACACACACCTATTTACCTCTGACATTCTACAATTTTACTACTAGCTATATCTGCCAATGAATAACGTATAATATACAGCTATAATTGTGATGGACTGTCCATTCATCTTTTTACGGCGATAAATAAAAATGTTATTAGCATTATAACAAATAATGGCACGTAGATATAATGACTTGGCCTCGACCAAGTAGACTGCATCACATAACTAACTAGGGGGGACACAGCTAAATGTGCAGTGACATATATTTAATTAAACGAAGAAAGCACTCCGCACCTGCAAACACGGGTTTGTTTATTCATAAGAAAATAGTAAGCTTGACTAATAAAGGTAAATGGGGCATCGGCGCTTGTCATGCGGTCTACACACCCCCATCTCTAGAGGGAAAATAGCTGTTCAGCAAACTATAATAATAATAATAATACATAGTAATAATAATAATAATTGTCATGCTATATTTTCGTTAAGTATTGAGTTAAATAACACGCTCATTAGATTTCCCCGTATTAAGAATATTTTAAGAGACAGGTGAACGGATTGAGCTGCTTGACCAAGTATTTCTCCAACATTAAGACCCCTCCAGGGTAATCCCAATCAACAGATGAATATTTCGCAATTTTTCAGAGAGCACGTCACAATATAAACTTGTTTTTTGTCTGATAGTAAGAATGACGCACGATGGTTATACTATAGGGGGAATGAAAACTGACTACTCACGCACTGCCTCTTGTTTGGGGTCCAGTCCGTTCGCTGTTTGCTGGATTCGTGCGATTTTGTTTTGCAGGACCCAAACTCTCTGGTTCGTGGATATTATCTCGGTCTCCAGCTCCTGGAAGAGGGAGCACGCCTGCCTGGCCAGGTCCGAGAGCTGCCTCAAGGTCCGCGAAAGCGCTACGCTGCTGATGTAGCTCAGATCCTCGAAAATCAAGCCGTCATCATTAGGGATAGGGTGCCTGCACAGCAACTGAGGCTCCACGATCCTTTTTGCGAATGGCATCTTGAATATAAAAAATAATAATAATAAATCCCCCCAGGTATAACCAAATCCAAAAAACAGCAATTAACGGTATTTTCCTGTTCAGTCAAAAAAATCCCAAAGTCAGTTTAAAATCCTCCATCCCTTTACCCTCCTATGGGAAAAAATCACGCTGTTACAGAGTACCGCAGCCTGCCGTCAGTCTTGGTTTATAGCCGCTCCTCGGACCATCAGCTGCATATCGGTTGGTTTTTCCCCCAATGCAATAAAGTGGAGGTGGATTAAAAAAAAATGTTGTCGTAAAAACCCGGCATGGGACGTCGGCGTGTTTACGGATCTGGAGCGACGTTGTGTTCATTCAACAGAAAACCAGGAGTCGATAAAGGGCGATTGCTGGGCGGAAGTCAGTGAAAAACATGGCAAGGCTTTAAAAAGAACATTGTTTAGTAGATTCTTATCTATTCTGATTTGAAAGACAAGGAGGGTTTCCGTATGAAAACGAAAGGAAACAGTGACGATTATCACATGCGTATTTGGCTCCATAGAAATAAGCACCCGGAACACAGTAAGGAGGGCAGGGCGGCGGATTTCTACAAGCTCGGGGTGTAGACTCACAAATCTCGCATGCAATATGTGTCAAAATATGTGTCTTTTACACTATATGTTGAGAATATCTAAAACGGGATTGTGTTATACTCGGCTCCACATTCGTAAAGTATTCGGTCACTTATATTTCGTAATACTGGAAAACAGTTGTTCCCGGTTAATTGTTTTACATGATTGCTTGGATTTTGTGGCATAATTACCACATCCATGTATATAAATGATACAGTATATGAAGAATGCGTAGTGACCATGTTCGGACTTGCTTAAAATAGTTTAAGAAGCTATAGGACAAACACACATTGATATCTGAAATGTGTTACATTTCAAAATACATTTTTAAAGGGTGCGACACAACGTACAAAAACAATAGTTGTACGTTTAACTAAATGCAGTAACTTTTGTTAGCTATATTTAAGATTTATTTGAACAATTTGTAAACCCATTGTAAAGTATGCAAAATTGATCTCACAGTGCCCGATGCGCCATCTAGAGGTTATTACTTGAAATGACAAATCTTGGTAATATCGGGATTGTTCAGCTGTGACAGGCGAATTTTTTTTAACATTTATTTATACAAAGCAATGTAGAAATGGATCAGAGTGCAGGGGCAGCCAGATTCATGGAACAACTTGGATTTGGGGCTTTGCTTAAGGTCCAAAGTTGATATGACTACTTGGTTGATTTCAACCTTCGTGATATGGGCACAGATCCTTAACCCATTGAGCTGCACACCCAAATGATAACAGGGAAGGAAATGTTCTCAGTAATATGCGCTGCAGGTAGGAACACAAATGAGTTTAATAAACAAACATTACTGGAGAAGATGTCAGCAATCACAATGAACATAAACTTCTCCAAGTTCTGCCCTCAGGGAGATGGTTCCTGTCCATCAGAACCACCACCTCTAGACACAAGAACAGCTGCTCCCCAACAGCAGCCGCCCTGCTCAACCCCTGTAACACAATCTATCTCAGGACTATTGCACATCCGCACTTTACTTTATTTTTCTTTATTTATTCACAACACATAATTTTCATGCTTGTCTTTATAACTTAACCTTATTCCTTTGCCATAGGTTTTGTTTTAGCTTAGTTTAGCTGAGTTTAGCTTTAATTTTTTAATCTAAATTTATGTGTACGAAGAGCAAATACACCACATCAAATTCTTTGTATGCATGCATATTTGGCTAGTAAAACTGATTCTGATTCTGAATTAGGTGTGGTTGAAATGTGTGCCAAGAGATAAAATCCTTTAGAAAGACTAAAAAAATACACAAGCTGAGAAGAGCTATTATGTTAGTAAGTCATGTGCTTCATATAAAGCAAAATGAAGCATACCATTGCTTCCGTAATACAGAAGCCATTAAGAGCCATTTCTGACATCACTGAATGGGAGCAGACAGTCTGCTTGCTGGGAATGTGCTGCTTCAGGCATCAATCCAAGGTTCTGCTGACAATTGAAACTCTGGTCATTGTGGCTGAATGCTGGGTGACGCTCGGAGAGAGCACCGCTGAACTCTCCCTGAACTTTGTGACACGTGTCCCTCTCTCTGCCTACTGCACCTCCAGGAGTTTGTGGTACCTTGTAACTTTTTCTGTGAGAGACATTCTGCTAAATCCAGCCAGCACCATATAATGCATTTCCACGGAAATCTCTCCTTAAGAGTTACTATATACCAGGACTGCAAACACCTGATTGAAATTGACCTAATTTACAGATGGGGTGAAAATAATTTCCTAACTGCCACAGCCATGACAAACAATTTGGGGGGGAAAAAAAATAAATGGCCTTATTTTAGTTGAACAGGAATACCTAAAGGCAGACTTCTTTGAAGCGTATTCAGAGCAGTCGGTACCTCGGAAATTAGCTGAACTCAGAATGAACCCTCTCGTTATCTACCTTGTACGATACTGGAGCCTGTTTACACTCTTCTTTGTGAGCATCTGATGGGCAGGATGAGGATAGACTGGGGATGGTCTCTTAAATTGCTTATGGACCCGTGAGCATGGTACACCTAGGGAAGAAAAATATGAATCGGAAAACAGCTCCGCAGTCAGGATTTGGTATTTACAGAAGACCCAGTATTTGAGCCTCTTAGAGAGAATGGTCTCTGGGGGAAATCTGGATATGGTGCCTTATTAATTATTGATTAAATATATTCCAAACAAAAGTCAGCCTTCAAAATGAATTGCTAAACATGGTCCGAATTTATTAAAATGCACAACAGGCCCACAGCACTAAGTCCTGAATCCTGGTGTACCAGGAAGAGCATTTGTACCTTTTGTATCTGATGTTGGGCTGTACTGGGCAGGACGGAGGTGCCGGACAGCAGTGTTTAATCAAGCCATGTGTTTTATTTAAAAACACAACATAAAAATGGATCACAGGCTCTTTAATTCACAAATTTGAAAACAATAGAAAATAAACTCAGAAGATAACTCAAACCTCGAAGAAACACAGGATCTCCAAGTGCTTCTTCCAATATCCTTTCTGCACCCACCCAGCTGACCTCACCGTAAAACCCCATCGATGTCAGTTCATTTACTCAGTGCCGGCTGAGTTTCAATAACTAGATTCTGCAAGCACAAGGCAGTTGAAAAACCACCACAGAAGCACGAAAGGCTACAAATCCAGACCGATGCCATCGCTCTGTCTCCCTCCAGCTCACACCTTACCAACACTCTGTTACGTTCAAGATTGCCAACGTGCGCAGTTCTGCTGTGGTCAGCAGAATGAGAGCCAATGCACAATAAATGGCAATTTTGAGTGTTCAACTGTTCCTCTTTGAGACTGTAATCCAGAAAAACCTCCACAAAAAAAAACAAAATTCAGAAAACAATTTCAACTTAACTTGGTCTCTGCTGGAAACCGTCTCAGATTCACGTAATTGCCACTGTTACTCCAAAGATACACACTTCACAAGGAGAGCCCATTGGTCCAAACCTAACTGGGAATCACATAAAATAATGCTCTTTATTATAAAACATTTAAAATGTTATATATCACAGAAATATATAAATATATACAATCATTTACAGGAATCTAAAAAGGAAAAATTGAGACATGAAAAGTCTTCCTGATGAAGTACAGTCTGCATCTGTACTTATACTGGAAGGACAAGTACTTTCAAAAGACCTATGATTTTCATAGCAGACACCATATACTACAGTGAAAATAATGAATGTACTTACAATTTCCCATAAAGCATCCATAAATATTAATAAGTACTTCTTAGATATATTTATTAGATTTAGAGTTCCAGCACCATTTTAAAGACCTAGCTGTAGTCGTCCTGTTGCACCAAGTCGATATTTTGCTTTTATTTTGTAAAATGCCATTTAACTCAAGCTCAACCCAAAGGACAGTATGATCCCTGTTTAAACACCCCATCAAATGGCTCTTTAATTTCCTGTTTATTATTTTAAAGAAAGTAATTTTTCGGTTTAGGTCACCACAACTTTTAAATGTTGCATAATCTTTATGATGCATAATCGGGTAAATAGTTATTTTATTTCCATGCCAAAATGATGTGTCATTCTTTAATATTTTTTTCCAAGCTGCTCAATCTGGAGTATAATTTTGCAGAAAAAAATAAACAGACATTAGACAGGAATTATAACAATTGGTTCAGATGTAACAGCTGCAAGTTTTGAACAATGCTGGTCTTCATCCTGCAACTTTGTTTATGCATAAAAAGAGATAAAAAAGGTAGATTTGGGAGTGCAGAAAATGACAATCAGGAGTTAAGATATTGCGCTTTCAATGAAACAAACATGTCAAACCATTGACAAGATGGACAAATGAGTATCCAGCCAGCATGACATGCAAAACCATGGACTGAAAATAAACATACCTTCATAGATGTAAGTGTTGCAGAATCAGTGCTCTCAGAAGTCATTCAGAGATGAGATACATATATATTAAACATCATAAACTGACAAAGGACAGGAAGTGTCCATACATGCAAGAGAAACTGCAGTCTCACTTTCCTTATATTTATTGAGTATTCAGCAGCATAAGTTTGAGTAGAAGTAAGTAATATCTGGATACCTTTAAATTTCTCTCACTTATATCTATAAAAATAGTCACTGAGGGAATCAAGCACAGTGACGCAATGAGTCGTGTTGTTGCTTTATACCTTCACGGTGGGGGGGTTCGAATCCCATTCATGGAGTTTCTTGCATGTTCTCCATTTGCTGCCCAGGTTTCCTATGGCTTCCTTCCACGGTCTTCAGACGTGGAATTAGGTGGACAGACATTTCTAAATTCCCACAGTATGTGACAGTTTGTGTGTGTGATCTGCAAAGGACTGACATCCCTTCCAGGACGTACCCCCATCCATTGTCCTGTGCTTTCCGTAAGTCAGCCCCCCCCCCCCCCCAATCTTGACTAAATAAATGCTTGGGAGATGGATGGATGGATGGATGATAGTGTAAGAAATAATTTTTCTACTAACAGGAAATATCTTTAAAAAAAAAAGTAGTCCAACACCCAGACACAAAATAATAAAAATCCTACTACTATGCTATAAAAACACAAGCATACTTTAAATATAAATAAAAGAAAATGATAAATGCACTGTATATTTAAACCATATCTGAATATTCTATTGTAGAGATGATGAAGTTGATGACAGACATTTAGAGCTGATTCTGATTAGATGCTGACAGCTGATTCTTTTTATGTCTTTAGATGTACAGTCACATCTGCCAGTGAGCTGAGGGGGCTGAACATCACTCAGCCCAAGTCACACAAGACCTCGTGCAGCTGCCAAAAGTTTGTTTGCCATTCGGCTTAAGGATCCTCTGAGGTGAAGTGGTCACCGAAAATGGGGGGAAAAAGGCATCCTGACCGGTTTCTGCACCGCGCTTATTGGCACGGATCCGCCGCTGTGGGCCATTTCACGCCACGCGTGGTTAGGATAGGCGGCTCGGTCCTTCAGCCGGTCAGACAAAGGCGATTGGTCGCAGGGTTTCCAGCTGGGCCTCCAAGGAGATCCTCTCCTGATGCACCTCCTGAAGAGGAACCATTAGAGGGACCTTGAAGTCAGCTAATAAGGAGGCGCTGCAGGAGGAATGAAATTACAGTGCTGTGCAGGGGTGCTTCATATGTGTGAGGTTCAGACAGCCAATTCCGCAGGGCTGACTGACAGGAACTAACAGGGGCGGGGGGGGGTGGGGGTGGTTAGGCCTCTGTCTGAGTCCCATCCTCGGCAGAATAGTTACATCCCTGTGCTCCCACCTCCAGCCTCACTCTCAACTGTGTATTTGTGTGTGTGTTTGTCTCAAAAAAGGAAAGCAAGATAGTATGCAAAACTTCATTTCAAAGCTGGGAACTGGTCCTTTAAGCCAGTGTTTCTGAACCCGGTCCTCAGGGACCCCCAGACAGTACACATTTTTGCTCCCTCCCAGCTCCCAGTAGGGAGGCAGCACATGGGCTCTCTGGGAGGATTTGAGAAACACTGCTTTACACTGACTGTCAGAGACAGAAGAGTGAAGTTGGGGCAGCTGGGGCTCTCTCACTACCAGCTTCATCACACTTCATAGTCAATCTGGGCAGAAAAATACTTAAGGACTTAAAAAGGAAGCCATTTCCTTTGTGAGGATTTAGGGTGCTGTCGTGCATGTGGTTATTTCACTGCTGCATGATGTTCTTTCTGTGAGGTGTTTCAGGTGTGAACTGAAATGAAAACTATGGCAGCCCCCCACCCTGAGGCAGCCCCCGCACCCTGAGGCAGCCCCCCCACCCTGAGGCAGCCCCCCACCCTGAGGTGTCTGCCATGCTGGCCTTCCCACTACCGAAACAGACATAGCACAGACTCAACGCTGGCTTTCTCAGAACTCAGAGGAATAACGAAAATAATTAACTTCCTCGAGTCATACACTGTCCCTCCGGAGCCTGAATACATACCATTCAAGTTATTCAATCATGCTGTGTTTCAGTCTGAAATCTACCTTAGACTCTGAACAATTAATAGATAGATTTTTACAAGGGGTTAGTGCCAGTGCTTCAAACAAACAAGGGTGTGAGTTTGACATGTGTTTCTGGGGAGACACACAGGAGACCCACAACACAGGGCAGATGCTAATGCAGAAAGTGCACACACACAGAGTGTGCACACACACACACACAGAGTGTGCACACACATACACACACAGAGCAATGCACACACACACACACACACACAGTGTGCACACACACACACACACACACACAGAGTGTGCACACACACACAGAGTGTGCACACACACATACACACACACAGAGCGTGCACACACGCACACACACAGAGCGTGCACACACACACACACACACACATGCACAGTAGACAGATACACAGAGCAGTGACCTTGAGCTTTTGCTGGAGCTCACTGTTGATCCTTGCCAGTACCGCATTGGTTTCTTTGTTCTTACGGATAGCTGTCTGGATGTCTTTCTTCTGCCTGTTGGGCAGCCTGCTGACAGGGAGAGAAGAGGCAGAGAGCAGTGAGAACTGTCCACTCCTGAGGCAGCCAATATCTGTCCACTCCCGAGGCAGCCCTTAAATGTCCATTCATAAGGCAACCCTTAACTGTGGACTCCTGAGACAGCCCTTAAATACCCATTCCTAAGGCAGCCCTTAACTGTCCACTCAAAAGGCAAACCTTAAATGCCCATTCATAAGGCAGCCCTTAACTGTCGACTCCTGAGGCAGCCCTTAACTGTCCACTCAAAAGGCAGTCCTGAAGACATTGAACTTTAATAACACCAAACCACTATCCCCCCAAGGTAAATAAAAATAAAGAAAGTTGCACTAACTGTGTAGTTGCACACATTGTCCAACGTACAGGGGTTCATGAAATGCTTTCCAGAAAAACCTGAAACTTTTGGGCAACTCTAGTACTGACTCTGCAGATTTTAGCAGACTGCTGTTAAAACACCGGAGTGTTTTGAGAGTGTAACTAGTGAAAGACATGATACAGGTTAGGTTTTCTCACCCCGCTCTCTGGCCATTATTCCGCTGAGTGGCAGAGAGCTGGGGGGTTTTGAGGAGATGTTGGCTAATTTCCAAAAATAAACAACATGTTTTCAACTTTTTATGACCCCCCCCTCATGCTGACACTTTCTGTTCACATTTGAAAGAGATGGAAAGAGTTATGAAAAAGTCATGGAAAAAAGTTACGAAACTGCCGTTCGATCTGCCGTATGACATAAACCAGTCTGCGGACATTCAAAGGTTGGGAACCCCTAATATAGAGAATTTGTTCTTGCTATAAGTACAGCCAGGTATGATGTTAAAACACTTAGATAATGTTTTTACAATTGAAATAATTACCATTTTACAATGCATTCTCTAATGCTCTGCTCCACCACTGTACTTAGTACTGTACTTATTTTCATATCCACTGTTATTTATTAACATTTTTATATGTTTACTTATTTTTTATATAGAAATTGTTGTATATCGTACTGTGCATTGTCTATTCTCGTCTTCTGCGTAGTTGTGTGATACACAGTCTATAGCTACAAACATAACAGCAGTATTCTGATTCTGATTATCGGCTGAATTAAGGGCTTGAACATTCATTATCAGCTTTGTTCTTCAGTTTAGACCAATTCCTGAATTATTCCAGTTGGTCGCAGCTTTGCATTATTTCATGATGAAATCTGAATAAGGTGGTCACTTTTGACTGGATCTAGCCCTCCCAGAGCAGCCAGCCCCAGGCTTTACCTTTGGGTCTGTCTGGTCCCGGTGGTGGATGCGGTGACAGGGTCCAGACTCTGGCTTGCATGGCGGTACTTCTTGTGTGTTGATTTCTGCGGCAGCTGCTGTGAGGACCCAGTATCCTGTGAAGCGGTGAATGACAGCAGTAAAACAGATGAGGTCATTCCAATCAGCGCCCCCCACTGGTATGACTCACCACTGCAGGAAAATGTTAATTTATAGAACCAACAGTACTACTAAGGCCTGACATCATAAATGGACCAAGACCTGGTGCCTGTCAAGTCATGTGACCACACAGCTGCTTTCCCACATGACTCTGCATCTTCTGAGACCGGATCCAGTTGTCCATGCAGCAGGACTGCTATACTAATATATTTTAGGAGAACTGCTTCACATTTCATATAAAATACACATATCTTCAATTGCAATATCATTATATAAAGAGTGGAAGTTATGATAGTTTAATCTTTATAACACATTTTGAATGTGAAAAATAATCACTTTGGAATGATAGCATTAGTAACACCAGAACAGACAGCACAACAAAAATGTATTATTGTACAAAAGAAATATACTGTAATGTAACATTCAAGATCACCAGTACCCATTTTAACATAATACTGATCATTTTCAGGATGTTATTGTAAGGCACTGTGCAAACTGCACGGTGCAGAAAACATTCATTCCCCAAGAGGCCCATTAGGATCAGCACGTACCGTTTTGGTGTGGACCCTGTCCTCAGCCCTGCCTGCTTTGCAGAGGGGTCTCTGTCCGCTACTTTTGATGGGACTTTTCTCCTATGACGCAAAACCAAAGAGGGGTTTCAGCCCCCCAGCAAGGCTGCAGTGCCCCTCTAATGTGGCATGTAAAACATCACATTTTCATTCACAGGCAACATGATTGTAAATGAAGCAAAAAGTGATTAAGTTTTTATCGGGATAAATCAGGGTGTGTTCGGTAAAGTCATTCTAACACATGACCATGCGAGAGCAGGGGGGGTCGATGTCAACCACTGCCACTTACAGCAAAACACTCATTGCCTTGTTCTCTTGACTCCTCGAACATTGTGACAATTAAAACATCCTTATCTGACATCATCCTAGGTGAATCTATAATCTGAGCAACTTTCATCCAAAACCTCTCATCCAATGCAGGACTGCAGTGAGACTAACCCAGGGGACACGGGACATAAGGAAGAGCCTAGAGCATCACAGGGCAAAGACACACACACACAATAGCAGGCACTGGGGAATTCTGAGACACCACTACACCTAACTGCATGCTATTGGACTGCAAGAGGAAATTTGAGGACCCTGAGGAAAAGCCACTCGAACTTGGGGAGCAGATTCCATGCGAACGAAGCCGATGACGCGCAAACGAGACGTCGAAAAAAAACAGGTCAGTTCAATACAGCTCAGGCATCAGTATCTGCCATTAAAAAGCAGCTGATTTTTAATGGACTCCAGCTATCTGTCACTGGGTCTGTCACTGGGTCTGTCACTGGGTCTGTCACTGGGTCTGTCACTGGGGACCAGAGGAACTGCTGCTAATAATCAGCTGCGGAACAAGATAATAAAGAACCTTCAAACATCCTGTATATAACAGGGCTTTTAAAGTCACACCTGAAAAAATAGAAACCAGAACTGGCATATGAAGATTTAAGTCCAGCAGGACAGTACTAATACATAAGCAAACATTTAAGTATATTTAATGAAGATGAAGGTCAAGCTGGCTATGTTTGCTTATGTGTTTTTATCGAGACAGTGTTATGTTTCATGTGACCCATTATGGAATTTTGCGAAAAACCAAACAATGACTTAATAAAGGACATCGTTATATCCCCTGCTTCAAAGACTCATTCCCAATAAAGCCATCTGTCGACAGTCATATCCACAGCAAACACGTGTTACAATGAAACAAAGAGTAATACAATGATCAGCAGAGATGAAAGCTCAGTCTTCTCTCACTCATGCCCATCTTACTCAGTGTAGCCTTTCCCTGCTCTATGCCAAACACTCACATTTCAGCCTTGAGCCAAGAAGACGAGCAGACGGGTAACATAAAATCTGTCCAAGGGCTCCCCAGTCATTCTAGACGTTCCAACTTTCCACAAACGCCAATTAACGCCTTCAACTGTATTTCTTAGTACAAATCAGAAAAAGAACAATATAACTAAGGTTACAGTTCATAACTGTGTGCTTCAGTGATAGTGAAGAAAAACTGGGTAGCAGCCAGTGTAAATATTATGGGCAAAGTCCTGTATGCATCCCAGAAGGAAACCTACTGAGCAAGAGACTTAACCTGAATTGTTTGTCAAATACCCAGCTTTATAAAAGCTGCGAGCCGCTTCTAATGGGAGAGTTTCATGTACATTTAGTCCTTTTTCTAGGGTGTTAATGGAATATATATATGGACATAATGAACCATATCCTGTCAGCGACATGTCATATTTATATCTGCAATGTGTCTAGGAAAACCATGTATCACTGGATATGAACTTGCCTGGGGGGCTTATAAGCAAACTGTAAACAGTTAGGAGGCAGCTTCCAGATGCACCTGGGCCTCTAATCAGCGGAGGACAACAGAAACGCTGACATGTGGTGGAGCCAAGGCTCGCTGACAGAACCGGCGGGTGTGGAGTGTGGGTTCATTTTCTCAGGTGACCGATTCTGCTGACTACCTCAGCTGTGCTCAGGTCTCTGGTGACATCACTCAGCCTGTGATTCTGGGTCAGACGTGAACGAGTGCTGGCCCCTCAGAGGGGTACGGCAATCTGCCATAATTTAATCACAATTGAGAGGTGCATTCTGGGATACGGCCACGACGGGCTTGGCACAGATGACGCTGTTGCTTCCGCTGGAGGCTCCGCATTGCTGGGCGCTGGAGCACGTTGATCACATGGGATGCAGAGATTTGGCTCACAATGAAAGCCAGAATATAAGACTACATTCTGAAGACCTTTTCTATGGCCATGTACAAAATGCATAAGATAATGCATAGAATTGAATTCTCTTCTTCTAGGAGGTCCTCCAACTTACAGAGAAATGTAAGGGCTGGTGGCAGGACTGGGACTCCAGCCACCGGAAAAGAATCACACTGGTCCATTTGGACTGGTCTGGTGCTGAGGTATCACCCGGGTGCACCCAGGTTCTCATCCCTGAGGTGGTCTGTCGTGCGGTGGGTGCGGAAACGTGCTGTAACCAGCGTGTGCTTCCTACCTCCTCCTTCTAGTTATTCATTTCTTGTACATAAGAAAATAAATATCCCTGCTTAGACTGCTGCCCATGTGACCTGACCCTGGGTAAGCAGCAGAAGATGGATGGATAGATGGATAGAAAGAAATAATTGGTGGTTTGTTCAGTAGCTTAGGATGTTGTGTCTATAAGTAGAAGGTCATTGGTTCAAATCCCAAGGCTAACAGAGTGTGTATCAGCGGTGAACTAGTAGGCAGGCAGCCAAAGTAGCTGCCCCAGGCCCCCCCCAGCAATATTGAGCCCCCCCCCCCGACTGTATACAAAACACTCGTGAGGATTAAAGCCTTGAAACCCATATTAGATGATCTTGTGACATACTACATTTATGTATACAATCTTATTGGTGGGAGTCATAACAAAAAAAGATTTGGCACGATACTCAAAACCATTTTGAAATGTAATAGTCAAATTGTAACAGTTTGCCATGTTTTGTTATCAATGCATTCAGCGAAAAAAGCATGGTTGTGGAATTTGGTAACTACTGGAGTGCATGCTTGGGTACAATCAGCGTGTAGAAGAGGTGTTTCCAAGACATCTGATTGGTTGATCCTGCCTCCTCTAGTTGCTTGGACCCACCTCCTCTACAATCTGACTGGTTGACACTCTGATCCAATCTTTTTTCCTTCTGCCCTCAGAACATTTTTGTGTAAGTAAAACTCCCATGAGCACTGTTATTATGCTAAAACAAACTTTTTCTTATGCGTGTGCTCATCTGCGCCGCCCACAATATGGGGCATGAGGAGTTGAGAGCAAACACAGCTGTGACAAGCTGATGGCTTGAGCCGAGATGACGGCGAGAATGATGAGGTCATCTGTTCAGGAAGTGAGTAGTCAAGCACCACAGCACGGGAGAATTCAACTGGACATATTGATTACAGACCAAACTTGCGTTCAGCCCAAAGCATCATAGCACAGGGGCAATTTTTGCAGGCATATGAAGGGCTAACTTCACAATTAGCCAATGATCCAATTTAAGTCAGTGAGTGACAGAAGAGGGGGGCAATCCGCTTTCGGCTGGGGCCTGTGACCCCGCCCCTAGATATGCCTGTGTGACCAGTGCCTGACACAGGTGTGTGGAGGTCAGCTGAAACTCTGTCCTCTAGCTCAGCGTCAACAAATAAACGCTTTATTGAGATTTTAGAGTCCAACATAAATAGCTTTAAAAAATCATGCATCCTAAATGAATCTGGTTTCATAGATTCTGCCAAATAAAACAAAGAAATGGCTAGGATTCATTTTGTTTTGATCATAAAATCAAAATGAATTTATATAATGCACACAGGAAGGGTAAAAGTACATAAGCTAAAGTATCAATAAGATTTTTTTCCACATCAGTCATAATAAACAAGGTTTTTCTCTTTTAATGTAAGTTTTAAATTACAATGAACACCATGTAATAACAAGCCAGATATATGTGTTTTAACCACTGGGAATGTGATATACACACACACACACACACACACACACACAGGCACGTGCAGAGGGGGGGGCGGAGGGTGCTTGAGCACCCGCCCCTTTCCTCCAGGATGCCTCAAGTGCCCTTTTCTTGGGTTTTTTTTTTTGTTGTTGTTTTTTTTTTTAAATGTGTATGTGCGTATGGAGCCCTGTCTTTGCCCCTCAACAATAAAATGTAACTATTAATCTCAATTTTGCCAAATAAAAGGATCTGGCTTGCATCAGTCACATGACTGCCATTAACCAATGCTCGCCCTTGAGGGCAGAGCGCGCTCGTTACGAGCCGGGTACGAGCTCGCAAAGTGCACGCGCATTTTCTGCAGGCTGGGTGGTGCGGAGCTGGAGGAGAAGCAGGCAAATTAATTGGAAGGTGCAGACTGCAACAAAACAGTAAATAGGGTGTACAGCGCACACTATAGTCTATAACAACAAATGAATTGAAATAAATGAGCGTGCTGTTTGTGCAACAGCGCAACAAACATTACCTGTCCTTTTATGAACTGCACAAGTAGTGGTGGTCATTAACTGCTAGCTAACTGGGTAAGGGTGTTACAAGGGGGTCTGTAGCTCTGTTCACTGTTTTAGGGAACGTGTTTTGTTTTAAAGTAAGTTACAGGACTTTTCCCTTCTTTTCTGTAGGGCTTTTATTTCACTAAAAACGATCTAATATGGATATCCACATAATTCCATATTAGATTCATCATGAATGTGAGTTGTTGTTATTCAGCCTGTTCTATCTTTTTTAACTTTGAGCACCCGCCCCTTTAAACGTCTCTGCACGGCCCTGCACACACACACACACATACACACACACACGCATACAGGCCTGTACTCATATCTTTGAGGCGACCATTCATTTCTATGGGCAGAACCCTAATCCCAGCAATGACGACCTTAACCGCTAGGCAGCCCTAACCTTAACCATAAGGAACATTCTTTCTGCATTTTTTGTTTTTTAATTGCAGTCACAGATCTTTATGAATTTGAATTTCCCCTTGTGGGGACAGACAAAATGATCCCCACAACATCAAAATAACAGGTTTTTAAAATACTCTGAGGACATTTGGTCCCTACAATGTGATGAATACCTGGATCACACGCACGCGCGCGCGCGCGCGCACACACACACACACACACACACACACACTAACATGACTATCATGGGGATAATAACATGATTATTGTTCCAGTATGGATCAGCTACTAGGCAATATAGATTATTTGACATGATTCAACTGCAAACGCATATGATCTATTCAAATAAAACCCTTACTTGACACCACAAAGACCCAAAATATCTACATCAAAACCAGCTGAACAGTTCTGCATCTCCAGTTATCACTTTTTCATGAAATAAGGCTGATTTTGTATTGTTCTTTTCATCAGCTATTGGACAAATCAACATCGGAAGCTGTCCAAAAAAAAAAAAAAAAAAGAATTAGACAGGAATCGATAGACTACCTCTGCTCTGAACTTAGTGAAGTCAGCGAAATCGACCTGCCGCAGTGCCTTCTGGGAGCTCTTCTCTGCAGTGGGCACAAAGTGCTGCACCTGGAAAACACCATGATATGGCAGAGCTGATAAAATACCAATAAGACATATTCCTCATGGCATGACTCACACATGGGGGAAAAGATCACGACACTGAGAGCTTGTCCTCTGACCTGAACAATAAATAAAAATTCAGTAGAAAACAGCCCCAGGTTTGGTAAGAGCCTGAAGAGGGTGAAGAACTACAGAAAGTTCCAGAAAAATGGCTTCCTGTGAGGGCAGAGGTGACATAGCAGATACCTGCATCGCCACACGTCTCGGAGGAAGCGCTGGAGGAGGAAGTGGCCAGTCACCTCCAGGCTCTGAAACACGAGAGGACTCAAAGAGGTCGGCAAAAGACATTACCAATTAAAAAAAATCTGAATATGTAATGTACATGAATTCACATTTTATATTCATATTCATAGAGTCACGTTTATTTTTCCCCAACATGGAATAACTGGGAAATGTTTTCATACGAACTACAGGACATTCCATGGTGTTTTGCCCTCTGGTAGCTGATTCCTCTTTCTCAGATGCCTGGATTTTTGTAAGTACAACACCTTGGTAGGCTTGGGTGGTATGCAGTATTAATGCAGTATACCAAGGTATTTCATCCATCCATCCATTTTCCAACCCGCTTATCCTTCTGGGTCGCGGGGGGTCCAGAGCCCATCCCAGAAGGCGGGCATGAGACGGGGAACAACCCAGGACGCTTAAATGTACAGGCTTATTATGTGGATGGTATGATGTTATGAAAAAATTAGACACCACCCAAGCCTACACCATTGACACACCTATACTATTTTACATGTGGGGGATGTGTACCTTACCATGATGACTCTGCTGAAAGAGTTTATTAAGGTCCAGCGATGAAGCGCGTGAGTGGGTCTTCTGCCGGCGGGGTGGAGGAGCCGGAGGTGTCTCTGAGTTCTTCACAGAGTCATTGATGGACGTGCTGGAGTAGGACCTGTCCACCATCAGGGTGTGGAACCAACACCATACACCTGATTAAAAATTCACATTTCACCACGACTGAAACGTATTTAAGATACAAACGGAAAAGCCTCCTCATGTTACGAAGGAATGTATACTGATACTTTTCCACGCTGCACTATTTGAAGATAAACTTCAGTACCGTGGCCTCGATCGAGGTCTCATTACTGAATCCATCTTGCACGCTGGTTCTAAAAAGAAACACATCACATACCAGTCATAATAACCCCCCCACAATAACTTTTCAGGACATCAAGAAATGTATGCAGCTGATGTTGTCATCTAAAGTGACACACAACGGACAAAGCAGAGTCCACTGGTCCCTGGAGCAGTTGGAGGTTAAGGGCTTTGCTGATGAGCTCCATGGTGACTTCACTCAGTCAAGTATGGGATTTGAACCAATGAGCCTCTGCTCACAGGCACAGAGTCCTAACCTGCAGAGCCATACATCACCCCATTGTAAGAGGAGAACATGCATGATTCATTAGCAGTGTGTGGCTCAGTGGGCTAAGCCTCTGTACGTGTGATGAGAAGGTTGCCGGTTTGAGCCCAGTCTCAGCAGAATAGTCACATCTATGGCCTTAACCTCAGCTCTGTGGCTACCACGTCTACTCTAACCTACATATCTGTCATGGGGAGCGGCAGGGGGTAAGCAACAAGCAAATTTCCCCACAGAGATCAATAACATATCTTCCTTATAACTGCCTGATTACTGGTAATACAAAATACTTTTTGGGTTGTCTGAAATTCTATTCCACCTGTGAAAAAAAGGACATAAGGTATCGTTCTAAAGCATATTACTTAATTTCCCATATGACACTGCAGTTGGCAATATGGGGCTGTTAATTTCATGTTCATCTGCTAGATCGAAAGACAGGAATGGTCATGGGGTTGTTCAGATGGGTACAGAGATTCCTGGCATGAGCACATATGAAACTTGTGAAGAGACCTTTGTTGTTTGTCCTCCAGAATCCTACCAATGCAGCAGAAACATTCATGAGTGCAGATATAACAATACAAAATAAAATGAAAGTATGGTCTGTATGGTACCTGGCCTTGCTACGTCTGTGTCAGCCAATTTATTTGATTGGTCTTGAACTTCTGATGCTCTTTTTGGACTCGATGCTACAATGAAATTCAGAAAGACACCCATCCTTAGCCATTAGCAAGACAATGACCACAACCATTACAGCCAGACCTTCTGACCTTCTAGGAAGACATTGTCCAAAGCCATCAAGATAACAGCACCCATGGCCATCGGAAAAGCCACTGCAATCCATCACCAATAACCCACAGCAGTACTGCAAGTACAGGGATACTTCGAAAACAATTACTTGAGAATGATTACTTTAAGAAGACGGTACGCTGAGTCTCATGCAGGTAGTTTAACACTGGATAGTTCCAGGTGATACTCTTCATTGGCTGCCACTTGAACAGCATCATGTTGCATTAGTGCAATGAGAAAAATGGCTTATGTCCCCTGTGGAGTCATATACTCAGCAACTCCGTCAAAGACAACAAGGGCAGCTCCCCTTACCCGGCTTGGACGGCTCCTGTTTCACATCGAACTTTGAAGTGGTCATCTCAGCTTCTGGACCCAGTGTTTCAACTCTGTTTTGTTCAGGCTTTGAATAAACCAAACGTGACTTTAATAGCTGTTTGACAGCTTTGTAAGTAATATTAATAGTATTAAACATTAGGAAAATATCATACAGCTTTTGAAATACTGTCGAATAAAAGCAGGAGTAGTATTTTAAAATAATCAGTGCTTATTTGTGTGGTGAAGGTGAATTTTAATTGTCAATTCTTGTATGATGAATGAATGTTTCGAAGCAATCAAAACTTTCTTGTACCGTTTTTGTTTCCTCAAAAGAAATGAGGGGTTCTGTCCTCTGCAAGATACACAACAATGTCATTAATGACCATTTCTATGTGTGTAAACACATCACCACACACACACACAAAACAAACAGTAGACATACAATGCCATTAATGTAGTCAGTTTTCTATAGTGTTTATTCAGCCAGAGCCAGGAACTGTTTTTCATATCTTGGCACTGGTCCTCTATAAGCAATTAATTCTACGTGGGCTGTAAATGTTTTTGTAGGCCTCTCTCTCTCTCTCTCTCTCGCTCTAGAGACAGAGAGAGAGAGAGAGCGGGTTAAATGTCGTATGAAACTGTTGAGCACCTTTTCACCACACATGGATCGTCCTATGAAACCCCTGTGATATTATAGGATGCCGGTGGTGTGCAGTGGGCAGGCTGTATTATAGGGAAATTTACCGAGGGTGCAGGGGGTGCAATTGCACCCCCTACTGGTCAGACGAAAATGCTATCTGAACATATTCAGACCAATAAAATTAAATTACAACGTTAATATATTATTGAGAAATTACCTTTTGTGTTAGTCATGTCTTTGTGTAATGATAGAATAATTTATTGCAGATATACTACTTTTTATTTTTTATTTACAAATGTACATATGTAGCTCAGATTGGCAAGGCCTGTGGTGATGGACCGGTTGGGCTGTCCCACCTTGCACCCCCTGGCTGAACAGCCTAGAGTCACCTATGCGCTGTATTACCACCATCCACCCAGCAACACCACCACGGAACCAACAGAACTGTCTGCTGTTAAAACACGGTGTGTAAAAACATCCCTTGGACTGTTTTCCACATATTCACGGCATTACGTGGTATTTCATGCCAGAATTGAACTGGGAGAGCAACCAAAAAAATGATGAATTAACTTTGTTGCATAAACCCAGGCAACAGAAACAAATATTTGTATTGCACTTTTGTTTAGACACAGAATACTGTTCTGTCAATCATCTCACCTCAGGAGATACTGGGATCTTCTCAAGCTGGGTCAGGTGAGCACCAAAAAAAATGCCCTCAGCCACCGGCCTTGGGGGGGCTGCCAACAGAACACCAATGAAACACCATTTCAGGGCACAGATTAAATTACGTTATAAATTGGAAGTGTGGGGTCGGGAAATGGCGGAGGTACCTCCGTCCTGCTCCAGGAGGCTGGACTGCAGCCCTGGGGGCAAGATCTCAGGCACAGGGAAGCCATTCTTACGAGCCACGATAAGGTGGAAGGCGATGCAGAACTCAGGGAATGTCAGGGCTCCGTCGTGGTCCAGGTCGCTCAGATCCCTGATAGGAAGAAGCACCGTAGATACTGTAAAGACTCCCATAACGTGACAGGAAGTACGCAATGCTGCCATGGCCACCCTCCGCCTCTCTGTGCCCACAACACTATCAAGACACCTATATCAGCCTACGGAAATCTTCTCTTAGCTATCACCCATTTGTAAAGCGCATGGATGTATGCACATTTCACACACTGATTTAATATATAGCTGCTCCTCGCTTTACGACATGTTTGACTGCACAGTCAGTAGTCATCAGACTTTGAATCTCGCTCTGTTCCTGGGCTAGTGATACTCAGTACAATGCTTTATACTGTTAATGGGCTAGCGATGCTCAGTACAATGCTTTATACTGTTCCTGGGCGAGCGATACTCAGTACAATACCTTATACTGTTCCTGGGCTAGCGATACTCAGTACAATGCTTTATACTGTTCCTGGGCTAGCGATACTCAGCGCAATGCTTTATACTGTTCCTGGGCTAGCGATACTCAGCACAATGCTTTATACTGTTCCTGGGCTAGCGATACTCAGTGCAATGCTTTATATTGTTCCTGGGCTAGTGATACTCAGTACAATGCTTTATACTGTTCCTGGGCTAGCGATACTCAGTACAATGCTTTATATTGTTCCTGGGCTAGTGATACTCAGTACAATGCTTTATACTGTTCCTGGGCAACTACCCAGCCACGTTTCCAGTCTCTAAAGTCATTGTGACCTTTTTTAACAATTGCATTTTTTCTGTTTAACAAATTTTCCCAAAGCCCAAAAATACCTACTGAACGCCCAAGTGTGTCTTATAATTTCATATTTGACTTTCATATTTTCAATTTTTGATGGGTGTGTTGGAGCGTATTCCCATCGTAAGTCGAGGAGCATCTGGTTCATGTCAGTTCTGCATCTATACAATCATGTTACATGGATCCAAGTCATTGTGCATGGGCACAATGACAAAAAAAGATGATTCGATTGTTTATTTTACTTCTGCTTTGTATTATTTTTGTCGGAAGACTGTTAAACAGTCTACCTGTAGTTCTTCTCTTCTTTCAAGTTCCACACAACAGAAGAGGTGACATCCCGCTACGCCCTTTTTCATTAAAGTTCAATGTCACAGCCCAAAGCGATCCTCAAGCGGGAATTTACATTCAAAGCTCTTGGAAATGTGAGATGGACACTTTTCATTGTAACTCGGCCTTTAGTACATTTGCTGGTCCGACTGCCACACAATGCGTGACTATTGCTGAGCACCAAACACTGGCTATGATTCAGTATAATTATGTAATTGCAGAACTATTTTAATCTGGGCTAAGCCGTCATCTGAGAGGTGGACGATCATAACAGGCCTGCCTGATATACACCCAGTGCATGTGTTTCCCCTTATTCATCCAAAAAAAATCACACTGCCACTATGTCCACTTTCAGCACCCATCATCTAACCCTGTCCCTCATTCCGCATGGAGCACCTGCTTCAGGAGCAGGGGAACTATACAATGGTGTTTATTTAGGAGGCCCGACCTCCCAAGAAATTCACTTTTGAGCTACAGCTAAACTTGTCTAATTAAACACCCCCCATCTGCTGTGTCACACACTGATGTTCACGGATGTGACATCTAACTTACCATATATGAGACAGCTCTCGTATCGACAGCCTTGACTTTGTGAAGAAGTCTTTTGCAACAGAGCCTGAAGAGTGAAATACAAGCAGCCATGTTTTCGTTTTTTCATTTTATTGAAAATGTAGAAACAAAACAGAAGGGAGGTTTTAGGTCAACTGAACTGCACACTGCTTCCTGTTTGAGGACAATGAGCAGCACGGGGTACAGGGACACAGCCCTTCCCCTCTTCAGATTTTCACCAGCCTGGTTAAACACATTTCCTGCCACCCAGACAGCGTCTGGTCCGAGGAAGTACAAGGTATTACCCAGAATAAGAGCCCCCAGGTCAGGCTGCAGGCTTGTGAACTGGCGGGTGTAATACTCCCGTTGTTCCTCCGTTATCCTCCAGGGGTCATCAGAGTAGTCCTCAGAGTTGTGGTCAACCAAGGCCTCCACAGAGAGTGCCTGCAGAGAAGCACACGTCCATAAGCACTCAGCAGACACCATCCCACCTGTGCCTGCATTCTTGTACTGAGTGCTGTCTGTTATAGCTGCCCATTACCTCACAGCTGAAGTTTCTGCATCATTTCTCCTCCCCCCCCCCAAAAGAAGCCGTATTCGTACCTTGGCGAGGGTAGCATGCTCTGCAGGGACCCTGACTGCATGGTGTTTCGGAGAGCAGCTCTCCTGCTGACCACCGGGCAGCCCGCAGCCGTGCTTTGCCTGCGCTGCAGAGAAAGACCTTTGTCAGTGATATTTAGTGTCAGTGCTTGGAGTCGTTGCCGTGGAAGCGCATGCAGAGGATAGACGAAAGCTCCCCAGAGGTGCTAGTGACTGTGAGACAACCTTGTTCACCCTGACTTGATTAAAATATGCCTGTAGAACGTGGTGATAATTAGCCTGAAAAAACTGTGGCCCTAAGCCAATTGGGAGACAAAGACGCGATTCTTTTTGCTCCGTGTAATGCTATATTTCCAATGGTGTAAATCTCATTAGCAAAACAATTGCAAAGCTCCCAACATAGGCACTGCACAGTATAACAAGAGCCCTTTAAAGAGAACTGTACTTAAATAAATAAAAATCAATGTAACACTATTGGTAGAATATACAAGGATGATAGTGGTAATTACTCAGCTCACTAAACACAACTGGGACCTTATAAAATGCTTCAGCTGCCATTAGAATGGGGCGTGAATCATACTGGGTCCCAGCTGTTTCCATGTACTGGGCTTTCCTGGGCATAACGACGATCCAGGAAGATTCAGGAAGAATGGGAAAATACAGGAAGGCGGGGAATGAGATTATAGCATGCCAGGTGTTTCCTGCGTTTTGAATGGCATCGTGCTTCCTGTCTGGGAACATGCTGCAGTAAGAAAGGCATCACAAACAGGAATAAAACAAAAAAATCTGTTTTCTACCAATGACAGGGGCTTTGTATGATTAAATAGCCTTCCTTATATATTAATTTAATCTTATATTGTCTTTGGTCAGTTTTATAAAATGTCAGCTGAAATGTTAAAGTGTGCACCTTTCCTAGTTAACTCAATGAGAGTTGAGTTACAGCAGTATGTAGGGGCAGGTTCCCTCACTGGAGAGCTCCTTCATAGCTGCATGCCCGTAACATATCATCCGCCTCACTGTATGTCCATCAGGTTCCCTCACTGGAGAGCTCCTTCATAGCTGCATGCCCGTAACATATCATCCGCCTCGCTGTATGTCTATTCCGAGTACAGTAACATAACTGTATATTGTGGAGAGCCTAGAGTTTATCCCAACAAGTATGGAACACGAGGATGGGTTCACCACCGGGACAGCATAAACCAGGACACCAGAACAACACTGAAGAATTCTATCAAGATGTTTAATAATCAAAGATTTCTTTGGTATAGGCAGTACCCAGGATAAGAATATCTGTCTTATGGACAACTCGTACCTCCATAAATGACTGACATGAAGCCTATTTCATTAAAAATTTCAGTTAAATAGAATGGTTCGTAATAACAAACACAAACACTACTTCGTGATGCTCAAGAAAACACTGCATTTGTACAGTACCATATATAGTTATTTTTATTACTACAGTATTATCATTATTATTATTATTATTATGTTCTGTATTATTATTGTTGCAACTTACCTACAAATTTAACTTAAAGACAGACTTAGGGAATGGATCTCGTTCATAACCTGGGGACGGCCTGTACTGTTGACTGGAATTTCACATAAGGAACCCCCTAAACCCTCAATACAATTTAGTTGTGTTTAATTGAACCTCATCATCTGGGGCCAGGGAAGATGGGGATGGGAACACTCTCCCTGTGTGTCCATGAAGGGCACTGGCTGAAGCAGCAGCTGCATTTTTCATGGCGAGAATTCAGCTGCTGCTGCGATAAACTTCACCCTCAGCGTGATCCGTGTGCAGAAACGTATGAGATTCAAGCCCAGAGAGGTTCGTTAATGGGAACATGTGCTGTGTCCGCATCTGTCGTCTCAGTCCACACTTAAACAGCTGCTGAACGTGGAGTCATGTTGATACTACAACCAAGAACCCAGATATATACACAAAGTGATTAAAAGCATCAATCAAACAAATTTGCTTCGCATTAATGTTTTGGGAACGACCAGCGACTGTGTTTTTTCCATCCATCTATTTTCTGTAACCACTTGTCCTGTTCAGGGTTGTTGTGGATCTTGGGCCTATGGGCAAAAGGCAGGGAATAACCCAGGATGGGGTGCCAACCCATCACAGGGCACGCTCACACACCCAGGATGGGGCACCAACATATCACAGGGCAAACTCACACACCCAGGATGGGGCACCAACCCATCGCAGGGCAAACTCACACACCCAGGATGGGGCACCAACCCATCACAGGGCACATTCACACACCCAGGATGGGGCAACAACCCATCGCAGGGCACTCTCACACACCCAGGATGGGGCACCAACCCATCGCAGGGCACTCTCACACACCCAGGATGGGGCAACAACCCATCGCAGGGCAAACTCACACACCCAGGATGGGGCGCCAACCCATCACAGGGCACGCTCACACACCCAGGATGGGGTGCCAACCCATCACAGGGCACGCTCACACACCCAGGACGGGGCACCAATCCATCGCAGGGCAAACTCACACACCCAGGATGGGGCACCAATCCATCGCACGGCACACACACACCCAGGATGGGGCACCAATCCATCGCACGGCACACTCACACACCGTTCACTCACACATGCACACCGACGGGCAATTAGGTAACTCTGGCACTTAACCTCAGCATGGTTTTGGACTGTGGGGAGAAGCCAGAGTACTTGGTGTAAATGTCATGTAGATATCGGGAGAACCTGCAAACTCCACACATCGAGCTATGGTGGATACTTGAACCCTGACTCCAGAGGTGTGAGGCAACAGCACTAACCACTGGGCCACCATGCCATATTAACCACTGGGCCACCATGCCATATTAACCATTGGGCCACCATGCCATATTAACCACTGGGCCACCATGCCATATTAACCACTGGGCCACCATGCCATATTAACCACTGCAATGAGCGTAAATTACGGGGGGGATGGGGGGGTTGTCGCCCCCCCAATAAATCAAAACCAGCTAATACAACCCTCCAAATAACCATGTTTCCCTCGTAATGGGTGGAGACCTCAACCCCCCCCCAATATTCCACCCAAAGCTACACCCTTGACCACTAGGTCACCATGCCATTTACCATATTTTTTCCTTCATACCATGAGAGAGATATCAATTAACTCTTGATATAAGCTCAAAGGGCCTACAGATCATAAACCTGAACATGCAGAGAACATGATGTAAAACAAAAAAGTTTGGTACCACTTTACAATAAGGCTATTCTTATAAAGGGATTATGAATGGTTTATAAGCAGGTTATTAATTAGGTTGTAACACTTTGTAAATAATAACTAGACAATTCTAAACAAGTTATACCACAGTTTTCTTCTCATTAATGACCATTTATAAGTGGCAAAGGGAGCCTTATTGTAAAGTGGGACCAAAAGTCTAACCTCCTTTCTCCATCAAAATGGATCATCAATGCACCATTAGGCTAAATAGTCCCAAGTATATGGCAGTCAGTACTTAGGCGGCAAAGTTTGTGTTAATGAACGTGACAAAGTTTGTGTTAAGGAACGTGACAAAGTTTGTGTTAAGGAACGTGACAAAGTTTGTGTTAATGAACGTGACAAAGTTTGTGTTAATGAACGTGACAGTCCGATCTGGAACAAATAAACAGCAAAAACCAGCTGACCTGAATGTGGGTAGCGGAATAATTTTTTGGTAATTTTTTTCGTTTCATTTTGGGACTTACCCACTAATGCATCATCATTCCGCTGCGTGGTGCATGTGGAGTGGGAGGAGCTGGCCGGGGAGCTGGGGGGGGAGTTTCTGGGTGATCGAGGGGGGGCCTGGGGCTCCTGGCAACACAACACACACAAACATTTCTGAAATCATTTAAGATTCACATATAACATCCATAGACTTCATTTGAAAAATATACATTTCTTAAAAGTAATTCCTTGGTTACAAGCAATTAGGGTTGCAAAATTCTAGGAATATTCTTGTTAATTCCCATACTTTCCCGTTAATTCCCATGGAAAGTTTCTAATGTGGAATATTTCCAAAATTCCCCAGCTTAACTTCCCATGGAACGAAAAGTTTCAGGAAAATTTCCAGAAATTTTCCAGCCCTTTGCAACCCTACAAGCAATTAATTTTTTCTCGTTTTGAAACTGGTCTCATCGATCTATAAATGATAACTGGTGTTTTGCCATGAGTTTGGTCAGGGGCGTAGCTGGAAATTCTGAGGTCCCTTTGCAAAGAAAATAATTCCCAGTACGTCAGCAAAAGTGGGACGGGCTGTTGCGTCCAAACCTTCCGCAAACCCGGAACCTTCAGTCCATAGAAAGCTGGTGCTGGCAGTGAAAGAACAGGCCAGCTTATTAGCGGAATAACTTCATTGTAAATCAAAACCGTACCGCAGATCTAATAAATAAAATCTTGTGGCGCTCGAGTGGCGAAGAGATCAAGAGGTGGACAGCAAAGTTCAGTTATTAGCAGACACTTTAATTACGCAATCCTTAATAGGACAGCGGTAAAACGAAGAGAGAGAATAAAGAATAAACTCACTTACACACAGAGTCAGGGAACCTTTAAGGAGAGAAAAGTGGATATAGGCAGTAGAGACAGAGCAGTTATACTCTGGAAACTTTTCGGTTCAGCAGCTTATAAAAACTTAAAATCTGAAACCGATCAAAATAAATTCAACAAAACGGAATAAATATGAACCTTTACTTTACTCTCACTTCTGCCTACGTTCATTTTTGAAACAGGTGGAAATGAGGGCAGGTTCTCAAGAGGCACCAAGCGACAATCAGCCCAGTACCGGCTCCATGTTGGTGGAAATGAGGCACAAGGAGCGGTTTTTAGATACGCTTGTAAAGCGGAGTGATACAGCTGATGTGAAATGTCCGAATGCGGTTATACTCTGATAACAGCACTCAGAGCACGTCTTGTCCAATCAGATTTCTTGGTCGGAACTAACTGTTTGTAATAAATCTAACCCTAACCCTAACTCCAGTTGCACCACTGATGCTGCACGCTGGCTGACCCTGCACTGTGACTCCCCAAGCTTGTATATGTGTCTCATGGAGAGCAGGCTGGGGTAGGCACAAAGGCAATGCCCCCATAGAGATTAATAAAGGATCACTATTGCATTCCATTCCATTCTAAGTTACCAAAGCAGTTTTTGTAATGCATCATTTAGGGTTATATAATTTTACAACTTTACATGTTCAAGGGCCCCTGTAAAGTGCTGGACCCCCTGAATCTGCCCAGGTATCTGCGCCCCTGACTGTGGTCACCTTGGTCAAACGGAACACACACCAACTCACCTGGATATCCATGTTATTCTCGGGATGTCTGAACGTGCTCCTGTCTATGGTTGTCTTGTGGACCTGAGCAGATGAGACCCCAAACTGATGAGCCTTGATGTCGCCGTACTGAGATAGGCCTTGATAGCAGCCTTCTGTGTTCTGTATCAGTCCTGGAAACCTAGGAAGAGGCAATTCTGTGGAAACACCAGACAGATCAAGGTTATGCGACCTCTGTACTTAAAGCGGAGTGTGTGAGTTTGAAGTACACTTGTGTATTAGCAAGGTCAAGGTCAAATTTATTTATATAGCAAGTTTAAAATTAACCAATTTATTATTATTAATTATTAATTAACCAAAGTTGTACCAAAGCAATCTGCAGAGTAAGAAAGAAAATACAACACAAACAAATAAATAAATGGGCCAATGATAGATAAACAAATAAATACAGTGGAAACCACTTTTAGTGATCAGGGTTATAGTGATCAACCGCTTATACTGTATGTATCAAATGTTTGGGACAGAGTCATAAGTAAATTCACTTATTATAAAGTAGTCACTTATAATTATTATTAATTCACTTATTATAGTTATTATCAAGTAGTCATTTTGGGTCTTTTTACACAGAACCACATGCGGAAAAAAAATGTAATTACAGTAATTCTTTTATTTTTTACTTGCCTACTTTGTCTTGTGGAAACCTGTCTGCTTCTGTCTAGCTACCTGAGGCTAATGCTACGTGCACAGAAAACATGACAGGAAAAAGAAAGTCATTTTCTCTCAATGACAAATATAGACCCATCAAAGCAAATGATAAACTGCTAAAAATGAACCACTGAGATGCAGCAGGGAAACTACAATAAGCTATATTTTATGTACAATATAATACTGTATTATAGTGTATTTGAATTAGACACAGCTCAGTAAATTCATTTGTACAGTATTAATTTAAAAAGCGTTTTTCGAGTCAATAAAATTCAGTAAATATCCATTCTACTTAATAAATATATAAATGTATAAATATGTAATAATATAAATGTCAATAAGATGGTAATCTGCCTGAGACATAAAGAAAAAGAAAAAAAAATGGTTATAATGATCATCTGCTTATAAGTGATCAATTTCACCCAGACAGATGTGATCACATTAAGCAGTTTCCACTGTGTGTGTGTATATACACATGTGTGTGTGTGTGTATATATATATATATATATATATATATATATATATATATATATATATATATATATATATATATATATATATATATATATATATATATATATATATATATATAATTATTATTATTTATTTTTTTTAAAGATGTGTCACAGTCTAGCTGAACATCAATCTGCCAGAGTAATTATTGGGAAAACGTCAGTTGTTCTATGATTCTGTACCTTGTCTCCATCAATCAGGTGGTTTAGGAGAACCCAGGAGACCCCACCCTTATTTACAGTGAGAGCTACAATATATGGATAAAAGTATTGGTAGAGGAGGGATAGTGGTGTGTGGTTGTTTTTCAGGGGTTCGGCTAGACCCCTTAGTTCCAGTGAAGGGAACTTCTAATGCTGCAGCATTCAAAGCCATTTTGGACAATTTCATGCTCCCAACATCGTTGGAACAGTTTGGGGAAGGCCTATTTCTGTTCCAGAATGACTGTATCCCAGTGCACAAAGTAAGGGCCATAAAGACATGGTTGGGTGAGTGAAAGAACTTGAGTGGCCCATACAGAGCTCTGACCTCAACCACACTGAACACCTTTTGGAGGAACTAGAATTGGCACTGAGCCAGGCCTTCACATCCAACATCAGTGCCTGACCTCACAAATACTCTATCTAGATCAATGGGCAAAATTTCCCACAGACACGCTCCATAAACTTGTGGAAGGCCTTCCCAGAAGAGTGGCAGCTGTTATAGATGCAAAGGGGGGACCAACTCCATATGAATGCCAATAGATTTAGAATGTGATGTCATAAAAGTTCCTGTAGATGTAATGGCTAGGTGTCCCAATACTTTTGTCCAAAAAGTTTTTTATAAAATAATCTGAGGAGCTACGTATAATTCATAGAATAGTAAAAATTGTATGCAGTCCCAGTGCTGGTCTGCTCATTGACTCACTGCAGGCTATTAGTTGCTTATGGTCGACGCTTTGGCGATCACTGGGATAGCCAAATTGTTCTACAACCCTTTCTGAATGAATCCCTAACAAACAGTTTAACAGACTGGTCTTCACCTGAATCTAAGCTCCATATCAAAGTTGTAGTGAAAGTGGCAGTGAGTAGGTACAAATACCTAGAGATTGCACTGCTTAATGCAACACTAGTAGCACATGGCTAACAACTCAAATGCAGCTAACAGTCTGTTAGCATGGATATGAGGAGCAACATCGATTATCTTGCGTAGGGCTGACTGACGGCATAAACATGCCCATTCCCCGAGCTCATGGTCCTCCCCTGACCCCCCCCCTCCCTAGGGACTTACCGCCCTTGATGTTCTCCAGACGAACTGGGAGGCCTGATTGTGCAGCAGCCAGGAGCTTCAGGGCGACATGGAACTGCCCTATGCTGAAGTAGCCCAGATGCTTGGCTCCACAAACCTCCGTAACCTGTGGGCAAAGAAATACTATTCGGCCAAAACTACAGCATATATATACATACACACACATTATCATTTTCCTTAAGCAATTACATTTCCCTCGAACAATGTTCTAAACGTTTCCACAACCTGAACAAAACCCACGTCTCACCCCCACTCATTTTTCGGCTCCATTTTTCATAATGGCCATTTGCCCAGTTTCTTTCAGGTCTCCCCTGAGGAAGGACATCTACTGTAGTGAAACAGAGACTCACACGCCCCTCTTCTAAAGTGCGTGCCAGCAGCCACCTGCTTCTTCTCACTCTGCAGGTTTCACCAAGCGCAGGAGAGTGAACTACGCTCCCAGATACCTGGTGCTCTGTGCCTGACAGCAAATGTTGCTGTAGTTTGACCCACCTGTCTAGCCTGTCCATCAGAATCAGAGCCCTGTTAGTGTTGCTCAGATCAGTGTCCTTGGAGACCCCTAGACAGTTCATATTTTTGCTCCTAGAAGGGAGCAGAAATGTGGACTGTCTGGCAGGGAGGGCTAGGAGCGAGTGAAAACTTGGACCACCTCGGAATCCCTGAGAAACACTTTGAGAAACATTGGCTAAGTTGAACAGTGTCAAGCAGTGAGCATCGAACCCTGGGTCCCAACTGAGTGACACATTCTGCTTTAATCATCACATCTCAAATTAGGAGATCCAAAAGGAGAAATATATTTTAATAATGATGACAGTTTCCATGAACAATGATTATAGAAAGGAAGCTTCATGATCTGGCACAGAGAAGAAAGCTTTTGCAGGGCAAAGGTACCATGAAAGTCAGAGTTTTTTCAAAGGGTGAAGTGTAACGTTAGGTTGGTATCTATGTGTCTCTGTATACAGCACCCACAGAAAGTCTTGGGACACTTGCTTAATTCAGTAAAAATACTGTAAATTTATTGGTTTTATAACAAAAATTATTACTCATTGTTCACAAGAAATATATGAAACAACCAGTAGTTTTAAGTAAAACATTCTTTTCAAGCAGTAAAGTCATCCAGGTTCTGCTGGCAGGAGGTTACACTGCGAGACAGGCTACTTCCCAGCTAAAGGTTTCTGAGACAGCAGTAAACAAGAACAAGCTGAAGCAGGAGACACTGGGAACGACCAAAAACCAGTCAGGTAGAGGGCAGAAGCAACTTTGTAATGCCAGAGATGACCGTCAACGTAGCCAGCAGTGTCTCATTAGTCAGGGGATGACCTCAAGTGACCTTCAAAAAGAATGGGTTACTAAGTGGTGTGAGTCCACTGTTAAGACAAGTCATAACAGGCTCCTAGAAGCAGGAATGAAGACCCATAAAGCAAGGAAGAAGCCCTTCATTAATGAGAAACAGGGAAGAGCCAAAAAATGTATATATTTTACACAGAAGCATGACCATAAACTGAGAAATGAGTGAAACTGAATATTTTACTGTGGTCTTTTAATTTTTTCCAGAGCTCTGTGTGTGTGTGTGTGTGTGTGTGTGTACATAGGAAAAAAACCCTGCAGGAAACGTCTACACTCAATCCCCCAAACCCCAGAGGGGTTTTACCCACCAAGACACCACGTCACTCATTATGTTATTACGAAATGTCAAAATATACTTAACATACTAAGACATCAAACAGGTTTTTTTTTTTTTTTTTTTTAAGTTCCTCAGTGCAATTTGCACACACGCAACCCATGAGAAACACGAGCATATTTTTACTTTTCTTCTGGGAAAATTATAATCAAGAACAAACTGGTATCAGCAAAGCCATGGGGTTTCCAGAGAGTGCGTGAGTGAAGGGTCCTGCAGCAGCAGGCATCGCAGCCCACTGATTTAAGGTGGCATTTTAAGGTGGCATGCAAAAAAGCAAGTCAGCTCTTTCCGGAGTGGGATGGGTCCAGCAGTGGAGTGTAACTCCAAGTGCTGCCGTCCTAAAAGACCCATTAACAATCCCCCAGCTCTCATTCTGCTTAAAAGGCACTTCTGCTGGGACGCAACTCATACACTCACAGGAAGGACAGCAGACAGAGCCGGACAGTGATGTTGGTTGGTCCGTAGCTGAAAATCAATCTGCATGCAGTTAATGTACAGTCAGGACCATCAATATTTGGACAGAGACAAAGTTTTTACATTTTTAAGTTCTGTACATTACCACGATAAATTTTAAAAGAAACAAGTGAGATGCAGTTGAATTGCAGACCTTCAGCTTTAATTCAGTGGGTAGAAAAATGTGGGGAACTAAAGTAATTTTTCAATACAAGCCCCTCCTTTCAGGGGCTCATAAGTAATTGGACAAATTAATATAACTGCAAATAAACATTCAATTCTAATACTTAGTTAAAAAACCTTCGCAGGCAATGACTGCCTGAAGTCTTGAGCTCATGGACATGACCAGACGCTGGGTTTCCTCCATTTTAATGCTCTGCCAGGCCTTTACTGCAGCAGCTTTCAGTTGCTGTTTGTTTGAGTTTAGTCTTTAGCAAGTGAAATGCATGCTCAATGGGGTTGAGACCAGGTGACTGACTTGGCCAATCGAGAATATTCCACTTCTTTGCTTTAATAAAGTCCTGGGTTGCTTTTGCTGTATGTTTTGGGTCATTGTCCATCTGTATTATGAAACGCCGGCCAATCAATATGTCTGCATTTGGCTGGATTTGAGCAGACATGCTGTCTCTGAACACC